TAAATATAGACTAGTATAAGATGAATTTTATGGCTGGGAACAAATAATACAAGTGAATCAAGATAGATTATGTTATTTCAATGACAGGAGGATATGTCATCATTTGCTCCAGCTAAACCCAAATAAATACACACATAAATGCATAATAACTTCATGCATTTTATACAAGGACAGACACCAGGCAGCCAGAAACTTGTAAAGCCAGAATCCAAAAGATGAACACAATGTATGAAGTTCTCTCTGTGTAAGTGTGTTTCGAAATGTTATACACAAGGAGCTCTCAGGATTTGTCTTGTTTTTACTGCCCTGTGGTGCAGATGTTTCTACCACAGGCCTTAAAATCACTTATTACCATGTTAGAGAGCACCATTATCATAAAACATCACTCAGAGTTGGAGAGGAATGTTTTGTATATTGTCTAATCTCTTACGTGTCCCATACCACTCTAATTACCTGAATATTCTTGGCAAGAATATTCAACCTTCTACAACAGTAACTTTTCTACACTTTATAACATTTCTAACACTCTAGGAGATATTCCCACTACATTAAATTCTTCTTTTAACTAAACCAAGACTAATTAATTTTATGATATATTTTATAGTACACAACCAGAAATAATTTGATATAATTTGATGGTATATTACATAAGCATATGTAGTAATTCTGGATTATCTAAGCTTTCCATTTAGAATTATTCAGTGGCTATCAAAAAGAAGAAAATAGGTCAGGCGCGGTGGCTCATGCCTGTAATCCCAGTACTTTGGGAGGCCGAGGTGGTTGGATCACGAGGTCAGGAGTTCGAGACCAGCCTGACCATCATGGTGAAACCTCGTCTCTACTAAAAATACAAAACTTAGCCAGGTGTGGTGGTGTGTGCTGTAATCTCAGCTACTCAGGATGCTGACACAGAAGAATCACTTGAACCTGGTAGGCGGAGGTTGCAGTGAGCCAAGATTGCGCCACTGCACTCCAGCCTGGACGACAAAGTGAGACTCAGTCTCAAAAAAAAAAAAAAAAAAGAAGAAGAAGAAGAAAACAAATCATGCTATTTTTCAAGTCATTGAACATATATTTTATTATTTGTTTATCACTGACATACACTTGATACCAAAAAGAAATGCAATAAGATTCAGCCATTTAGAATTCTGCTGTTATCTTATCTGAATGGCAGTATATTTTAAGTTACACCACAAGAGCCATTGTCTGATTACTTGATTATATTCTCTGCCTTGGTCTGTTGATCATTTGTGCTACTGACATAGTATGTGTGCTTTTGAGGAGATCCCTAGCTTTCAGCAGCTAAGTGTACTTGGTACTCTACCTGGAGAGTGCATTTTTGCTAAACATGCATATGAGACACCAACGAACAACAGGATATTCCTGAGTTTACCTAGGAGAAAACCAAACATAATCTGAACAAACGGAATATAGAAAATTCAGAGAAATTAGTTTATGTTTTAGCAAATGACTCACATATCTGTATGATAGGAACGTGCCTCTTTATTGATAAGATAAAATGAGGTATCATCTTAAAGAAACAAATGTAAAAGTTATTCCAAGTTTTGTTATTTGTCATTCACATAGCAGGAATAGATGGAATTGCTCTTAAATTAGAGAAATCACAGATTGGCCCTAACATTAAATGTTCTTAAAGCAAAAAGCTAAATGCATATTAAAATGAAAGATGGCAGAAGTGGAATTTACTTCTATAATGTAAAGAAAATGGAACAAACAAAAACAAAAGTTTCCACAAGTGGAAAAACGATAAAAGTAAAGTAGAAAGTGTAAGGATTTCCAAAGCAACATCAATATAATCTAGACAGGTGGAATCCAGTCATAAGAATAAGAAACAAAAACACACCAACTAATTGACAGGTAAGTAAACTCACTTTTGTTTGTGACTTTTAGAAGAAATAATAAGAACGAATTAACAAAAGGATATTGGGGGGTTTTTTGGTGGTGGTTGTTTTTTGAGACAGAGTCTCCCTCCCTCACCCAGTCTGGAGTGCAGCGACGCAATCTCACCTCACTGCACCTTGCACCTCCTGGGTTCAAGAGATTCTCGTGCCTCAGCCTCCCGAGTAGCTGGAATTACAGACGTGTGCCACCATGCCTGGCTAAATTTTGTATTTTTAGTAGAGGGTTTCGCCATACTGACCAGGCTGGTCTCAAACTCCTGGCCTCAAGTGATCCGCCCGCCTAGGCCTCCCAAAGACTGGGATTAAAGGTGTGAGCTACCATGCCTGGCCAGCTCTTGGGTTTTTAAAGATAATGTGATCCAATTGTGTGCATGAATACCTATTGAAATCCTTGGGGTACATCTTTTTAGTGTTTGTGTGTGTGTGTGTTCATACTATAATATTTTATGTGAGCTTTGAGAACTGGAATGTGCTTTACATAGTTTGGCTATGTCCCCACCCAAATCTCATCTGGATTTGTAGCTCCCATAATCCCCACGTGTCATGGTAGTGACCTGGTGGGAGGTATCTGAATCACAGGGGCAGGCTTTTCCCATGGTGTTGTTGTGTTCTCGTGATAGTGATTAAGTCTCACGAGATCTGATGGTTTTATAAATGGAATTCCCCTGCACACACTCTCTGAGCTGCCTCCAGAAAATTGAGCAATACAGTACTTCTTAGAGGTCTACTGGCTCATCTCTTCTGAGAAGAATTTGATGAGGAATAGAGCCACTGAGTAGACACAGAGCACCAAAGATGTAAAGGTTCAAATGCAGTAGCTCAGTGTCAGTGGCAGGAGAGTAACAAATTCTAGGGGAGTCCTGTGTGACATTTTTAGATTGCACAGATTTGTATTCAGAATGTTATATCTTGGCTATCATCCAGGTAAGGCCATTGTTTATAATAAAACAGGCAGACAAGGTACATCTGAGCCCTGAACTGTGAACATTACTCCTTATCAGTGGGGCAGGAGTCTAGGAGATCTGCTTCTGCTGCAATTATAGATGGGATGGGCCATGCAGGTCTTCTGGCTTTGAAGGGACTGCGTTGCTACCTAAGCTGCAAGAATATGATCTCAGGTGTAAGGATCAAGGAGGATGTCCTGCTGTTAAAACTGGATTAGATGGGGGAGATCTGGCTACCAACTGAAGGTCCAATATGTCACTTTGGGACACAGTTTCCAGGTCAGGAAAGGTTCTAAGATGCTGCTGCTGAATTCCCTTTGGTTAGTCACCTCTTCCACATGACTAGAATTAGTTCTGAGAAGGAAGTACTCAGAGGTACTAGAAGAAAACTAATATAAATGAGCAGTCCTGGCTGGGTAATTTTCTGTCCTGTGGGGTGTGGCAAACAAACTGCTAACAAGAGGTGAGAACACAGGGAATACATTACAGCATCACAGGATTTACTCCTCTCCTTTCCTTTTGTAGGTAGCCTTTACATTATAAATGAAATTGTATTTAGAAGATCTCTGTATTAGGGTTCTCTAGAGGGACAGAACTAATAGGATATATATATTTGTATTAAATATATATTTTTTATATTTTTATTTTATTAAATTATATATATAAATATATATAAAAATATAAATGTCTATGTTTATATTTTATTTATATTATTGTATTTTAATATTTATATTATTATATAATATAAAAATATATATATATTTATATTTTATTAAATATGTATTTTTAAAAACACATACATTTTAGCACATGGAACCAGAATATTAAAAGTAATCCACATAACAAATGCCATTTTTACCAGGTTTCACTATAGCTAAACATTTTCAGAGCCTATAATAATTGCCAGGTACACCAAATTGCAAACACGCTAGAAAAATATCAGTTCATATTCTAGAATTTGCAATAGACTTAAAGGTCGGTAGGCCATTTTATTGTCATAAAATTAAAGGAATTGTAGAATTAAACCAAGCCAAGGCTCCTGGGAAGTAACAGAATATTTTCAATGATAAAATGATGTAGTTTTATAGGACTGAAAATAAAGAAAAATAATAAGTATGTATGGGCTTCCCATTGGACATTTTCTCATTGAAGAGTTAATAGAAATATATATACAAAAAGGAGTTTATTAAGTAGTATTAACTCACACAATCACAAGGTCCCACAGTAGGCTGTCTGCTAGCTGAGGAGCAAGGAAGCCAGCCCGAGTGCCAAAGCTGAAGAACATGGAGTCCAATGTTCAAGGGCAGGAAGCATCCAGAATGGGAGAAATATGTAGGCTGGGAGGCTAAGCCAGTCTAGTCTTTTCATGTTTTTCTGCCTGCTTTATATCGTGACTATGCTGGCAGCTGATTAGATGGTGCTCACCCAGATTAAGGGTGGGTCTACCTTTCCCAGCCCACTGACTCAAATGTTAATCTCCTTTGGCAACACCCTCAGACACACCCAGGATCAGTACTTTGTATACTTCAATCCAATCAAGCTGACACTCAGTATCAACCATCACAATCTCCTTGCCCAAAATGTCTTTCATATTTTGATGTTCTTTTATGGGTCAAAAATGATAAATACACAATGCATACGCCACCACATCACCTATTCATACACCATCAGCACTTCTGCCCCTGAAAGTCTTCTAGTTAAATTCTGAGTTCAAATTTGTGTTCTTTCTATGTATCTTTATTTAAACACTGGTTATAAAGCTTAACTAAACATTAAGATCATCTAGAGAACTTCTGAAAATACCAGTGTCTAGGACTTACCTCAGAAATTCAATTCTGATTTAATTCAACTGGGGAAGGTGGGTGGGGGAGTCTAAGTATTAGCTATTTTTAAAAGGAACACACAGATTCTAACCTGTGGCCAGATGCAACTCTCCCTGGGAAGGAAGTAATATGGAGACCATAAGTGATCTCAGTAAGAAGGAGCTTATCAGGTTTTTTCACGAGTTTCATGAGAAGAATGGGGGCCAAGGCTGCTAGAAAAACAGCACAGGATAGGACAAGAGAATGTAGGAGATTAGAGGATATCTTAGTCTATTCTGGCTGCTATAATAAAATACCATAGACTTGGCAGCTTATAAACAACCAACATTTATTTGTCAGAGTTCTGGAGACTGCAAAGGCCAAAATCAAGGCACCAGTAGATTTCACAGCTTGTGAAGACTCACTTTCTGGTTGTCAGATGACAGCCCTCTCACCGTGTGCTCACAGAGTGAAAGGGGCAAAGGAGCTCTCTACGGCTTTTTTATAAGGACACTGCTCTCATTCATGAGGGCTCCACCCTCAGGACCTAATCACCTCCCAAAACCCCACCTCCTACCATCACCTTGAGAGGTTAGGATTTCAATGTCTGGATTTTGGAGAAGTGCAAACATTCAGACCATTGCAAAGGATATTATTTCAAAGTTGCTCAGGCCCCTACTGTTCGTAAATTGCTCCAGATTACAAAGAACATAAGCAGTCACACTTTTCATTTTAAAGCAAAGCCATTTTTCTTTGCAAGCTGTGGTTTTTTGCCTTTGAATCTGTGTCAGATAACACAGAAATCATTTTTAATGTCATACTTCCTTTTATGGTTTGAAGAATATATTAGTGTTTCTTCAAGTATATATTAGAAACTGGTGTTATATTTTCATAGGGCATCATGGTATATTTCACAATGTTCCTACTTAATAATTAAATTAGACAGTATTTCTGATTGTAAGATGTGAAGGTCTGAATTTAGCCATCTTTAAAATATAACAGGTTATCTATACTTTCTTCAAGCTTACTTATCCTGAGATACCACTTATATTTCCATGCACATTTCTACATTCACAAAAAGGGTTCCAGTATGAGCAACTGTTATATTACGGGCAAAAGGACCGGCCATTTTTTTTCTAATTCTTGCTACTCAAACTTTGGTCCCAAACCAGCAATAACCTGGTTGTTTGTCAGTAAAGCAGAATCGCAAAGCCCACCAGGTGATTCATTTCTATGTTAAGGTTTGGGAAGTCCTGCTCTAGTTCCAAGACGTGTTTCTTGGTTTGCTTTATCTTGTCATCAGTGGGACAGAATATTCCTTAAGCTAGTTTATTGACCAAACTAGAGTTTCAGGAACCAAATACTTCACATTTCATTCTTAATTCAATTATTCACTTAAGGCATGATCTTTTGCATGTGATTTCTCTTTACTTCATTCTTCATGAGTAAGCGAAAGAATTGAACTAACCTCATAGATCCACCATTCTATGGATCTCTGATAAAATCAGTTTTAAGGAGGACCAAAGATCAGTACGGAAGGCTGTTGAAGAAAACAGGGATGAGTTCCTGCTGAAGAGCTTGTGATCCTGAGCTTTTGGAGTTTTGTCCTCCTCAGTGTAGAATAAGCCTGCCAAGTAAATAACAAATACAAGATTCTTGATGAAAAGAAGAGACACAAACAGTCACACGTTCATAAGCTCACACAATTCTTGCAAAAATGCTCACACAAACACTTTTTCCCAATGACAAAAGCTAATGAAGGTCAACTAACAACCAGTGTGTTCTTCCTGAACTATCAGAGAGCTAGCATGTTTAAAAAGCTTATAGATTCAACATATGTACATGCATTTATTCATGTGCATTAAATGGTGGCAGCTCATCAAGTGTTCTCTTCTAAATCTAATGGACTGATTTTTTAAAAAAAATAAGTTTAAGAAGAAGGATTGTAAAAATAATCCTGTGCCCCTTATGTTCAGGTTCTGATTGCTTTCTCTTTTGGGAATTCTTGAGATACAGCCCTCATTAACTGTTTTTCACAGAAAACTTTCTGGAACTCATGTTGAGATTCTTTCACCTCATAGCCTTCAACCTTTTCCTGGGTAGGTAATAAGAAAAGCACGGTGTGAGCCTGACCCCAGTGCGGGTGCAATATCAAATTTAATCTCTTTAGGGCCAGGTGTGGTGGCTCATTCCTGTAGCCTGTAATCCTAGCACTTGGGAGGTGGAGGCAGGTGGATCACCTGAGGTCAGGAGTTCGAGACCAGCCCGGCCAACATGGTGAAACCCCATCTCTACTAAAGATACAAAAATTAGCCGGGCATGGTGGCAGATGCCTGTAATCCCAGTTACTCAGGAGACTAAGGCAGGAGTATTGCTTGAACCAGGGAGGTGGAGGTTGCAGTGAGCCTAGATCACGCCACAGCACTCCAGCCTGGGTAACAAGAGCGAGACACTGTCTTAAAACAAAAACAAAAACAAATTCAATCTCTTTAGATCGTGGGAATTATCAGAGGTGAGAAGTGCAATGGATGGTCACAGTACCCCCATCACCATGGTCAGTATTTGCCATAATTGTAAATAAGTTTTTCTTCAGAAATGTGTCAGGCAAAAATGATTGCTCAAAAGGCCGAGAAGCAATATTGTTATGTACAAAGGTGCAAATTCCAAGATTACTTACAAAGCAAGGATTCAAATGTGTTTCATATGTACAAAATAGAAGAGGCAAAAAAAAACATTTGCAATATCAAATAGTACACATTCAATAAAAATGGCATGTTAAGGTCGGGCACTGTGGCTCACGCCTGTAAGCCCAGCAGTTTGGGAGGGTGAGGCGGGTGGATCACCTGGCGTCAGGAGTTTTGAGACCAGCCTGGCCAACATGGTGAAACCCCATCTCTACTAAAACTACAAGAATTAGCTGGGTGTGGGTGGGCACCTGTAATCCCAGCTACTCAGGAGGCTGAAGCAGGAGAATTTGTTGAACTTGGAAGGTGGAGGTTGCAGTGAGCCGAGATTGCACCATTGCACTCCAGCTTGGGCAACAAGAGTGAAACTCCGTCTCAAAAAAAACAAAACAAAACAAAAAAAAAGCCTGTTAAAGACCACTTAAAGATATGAAAATACAATATTATATTAAGAAAAACACTATCATCCAAAATGTACTACTTCAAAAAGCTAACTCCTTTTCAATTATTTGTCTCACCACAAACCAATAATGTGGTATTAAAAAAAAATACATTTTAGTATATTGAACTAGAAGATTAAAAGTAATGTAAATAAGAAATGCTATTTTTACCAGGTTTCACTACAGCTAAACATTTTCAGAGCCTATAATAACTGCCAGGTACACCAAATTGCAAAACCACTAGAAAAATATCAGTTCATATTCTAGAATTTGCAATAGACTTAAAGGTCGGTAGGCCATTTTATCATCATAAAATTGAAGGAATTGTAGAATTAAACCAAACCAAGGCTCCTGGGAAGTAACAGAATATTTTCAATGATAAAATGATGCAGTTTTATTGGACTGAAAATAAAGAAAAATAATAAGTATGTATGGGCTTCCCACTGGACATTTTCTCATTGAAGAGTTAACAGAAAACTGGGCTAGAAAGGATTCATGACTTTCACCAGTATCCTTGGCCTTTCTTTATCCCCTACACTAGGACCATCGGGAAGTTATAGGAGAGTATTACAGGAGAATATTGACCTATAATATTTAGTTACTGACAACCTGTGCCATAAAGTTTCTCCCAGAGAAATGTGCTTAACGTGGCACGCAGGTGTTCTTGTTTGATGCTTAGTTCTTCTTCTAAAAGAAGTCATCTTTCCTCTTTTACTACTTTAGAGCAAACTTTCAGATACATTTATATGCAATATATATAAACCAAAGGATCATATTCATATTAAGTTGTCATAGAAGTTTGAAATTTAATAAATTCAGCTCATTTTTTTTTTCATTCTAGAGACCTGGTAGGCAGTAGCACTGGTCTCTTTCTTCTCTGGGGTACCGTTTGGATGCTTTCGAATAATATAATGTGCATTAGATCACTTACGACATGAATTACAAAATTTGGACTTGTTATACCTTTTGGGGGAAAGTTAAAACAATAAAAATGTTTCATTAAATCTCGTTAAACAATGATCCCACAGCCAACTCAATGGGTCTGGAGCAAAGAGAAAGGTCTAGAAACCAAACTTTCTCCTTTTCCTCATTGCTCTTTAGGGTCATCCACCATGTCTGGGGTGTTCATGCAGTGATATGACTGATGGGCTCTCCTGAGAGGGGATGTGCTGGAGTTAAGAAAGGTAATACTTATCTGATGATTAGACTCCTGTGAGCAAGCATTTCTCGTTTTCTGTGTAATTTTTAGAGGTGGGACTCATAGCAAGGGGAGGAATAGCCTAAGGCCCTAAAGGTGATTTCAAGAGTCTGATTGTGAACAAGTGACAGAGCTGTGCAAAGCTACTGGGTTTTGCAAAGATCTTTTCACAGGAAATTTTGGCAAGACATTGTTTTTTCCTCCTGCCACCACCCCCCTTTCCCATTAATGTGTGAATTTGTCAAAGTGAAATCTTACCCTTCCCTTTATGGAATAGATAGATAGATAGATAGATAGATAGATAGATAGATAGATAGATAGATAGATATTCCTCCTATGGTGAAATCTCTTTCTGCAGAGAAAATCCTTACTGATTGCTTTCTGTGCTCTCCAGGTATAAACATTCTCTCACATAATTTAAGGTATTATTTTAAAACACAGTGTTCAAATACCTCTTCCTCATTTTCATTTATCTTATTCAAGATATCAACCACTTCCTGACCCACTCCTGCCTTGCTTCTAAAAGGATCTGTCAGTGTTTGTGGAAATCTGCATTGTTATCTCATATAATGTTATGTGTGCATGTGTGTCATCGCAAAAACACTTTTTCGGTATTATTCATGTTATTTCCTATGTAGACTCCTAGTTGCTTAAGCATACATTGCTGTTTCTATTTTATTAGTACTCCTATTCTTGAGTCCTTCTCATTGGAACATTCTATACTATAATTCACAGAATGATTCTCAGTTTCTTTTTTTTTCTCTCTATTCTTTTTAGCCACTTAGTCCTTCTTCAAAGTGACCAATAGTTGCTCACACTCAACTATTCATTTCTCTATTACTTTTTCCACTGTCTACCCTTTTTCTGTTTATTTTTTTCATTTCCTCCATGAACAATAAATCTTACACAAGTATTATCCTGTGTAAACTGTTTCCTATAAGAAATACTTTCTGCTAACATTCTATAAATTCTAGAACCTTATTTGGTCTGAGAACTCTCTTACTCTGATGACTTATTGACTCTGTTCCAAAACTAAATTTAAGTCCACAGCTGACCTAAGACTATTGTATTTAGCCATAACAAGGTTGTAGGAAAGCAATTGCTCCTATTGTGCTGGAGTCAGAAGCCAGCCGTACTGCACTGCCCAAAGGGGTGAGTGAAGCTGAGCAAGTGGAAGCAGTTAAAAATAGTTTGGAAATAGATATGGAGTAAGTAGGAGTGTGTGTGTGTGTCGGGGGGGGCAGGGGGCATGTGTGTGTGTGTTAAGAAAAAAAATCTTTAAATCTTGTTGGAGACCAATTTAGAAGAAAATATTAAAAATATAAAAGAGAATTGGAGTTTTCCATTTCTGGCTCACATGCAGAAAAATGAAAAATATTGCTCCCTTCCTAACGAAAAAAAAAAGTAGGATAAACTATAAAATCACACTTTCAGACAGCTGAGGTCACAGGGCAACTACGTAGCTCGAAGCCCAAGGAAGAGGAGCTCCCCATTTCCCATGGATAAATAACATGTGTAGAATGTCTCAGCTGTCGAAAAACATGGGAAGACCATGCCATAGGCATGAGGGCCAGAACATAACATATCAACTCATTGCAAAATGATGAGTATCTGTTGATATGGGAAAACAGAACCCCTGGAAGTCTCAGGCACAAGGGGAACATGTACCCATTTGCAGGAAGATTTCCATGAACCCCCACCGGGTGCTCATGAGAAAGATTGGTGGAACAAAGACTGGTGAGAGGCTTTCCTGTTGGTATAAATGTGGAACAGGAGAAAGGCATACACATCTACCCACCTGCAGGGATTATTCTCTCAAGAAACATAAGGCTCTGAGAGAAGAGCAGCAAACAGAGCCTTGAGGTCCTAACCCTTTCTGAAGGGGTTAAGATGGAGCAACAGAATCTTCTGAAACTGGGAAAGGTTCAAAAGGGCAGAAAAAAAGTGTGGGTACCAGTATCTTCTATGAACACTCTCAGAGGTCTCCTACCTCTGGATGAGAAGCGGAAAGAAACTTGGCACACAGAGGAAGAGGAGAAATGATGAGAAAAATTCACCCCAAAGTCTTTGGCACACACAGCTGACCTGAGACTACGTCTGGAGCAGGGATGCGGAGAGCCCACCCTGTGTCATGCAATATCAACCTTGGAACACTGAGTAATAAGCAACCGTGCTGTACTGTGGGGAGAAGAGCAAGAGCTTGCACCCTTCTGTGGCACAATGTAAGGGGTGGCTCAAACCTTAGAGCAGAGCACACTGGACACACCCTCAGCACTGCAGTCCCTCACACAGCCTCAATCATTCTTGGAGTAATTTGAAACCAGCAGTGCAAAGAATGTGGCCATAGATCAATTCTAGATTAGGTGGATTCAATCCCCAACACTAAATGCCAATTGTAGTTGGAAGTACTTTTTACCTCCGTGTCCTTTGCTCTACATAAGATATTTGGCTTGAGTAAAGCACTATGAGACACTCAGCAGCATAGATACAAAATTAAAAAAAAAAAAAAAAAAAATTCATCATGACTTTTGTTGCCATTGCTTTTGGTATTTTAGACATGAAGTCCTTGCCCATGCCTATGTCCTGAATGGTATTACCTAGGTTTTCTTCTAGGGTTTTTATGGTTTTAGGTCTAACATGTAAGTCTCTAATCCATCTTGAATTAATTTTTGTATAAGGAGTAAGGAAGGGATCCAGTTTCAGCTTCGACTTATGGCTAGCCAGTTTTCCTGGCACCATTTATTAAATAGGGAATTCTTTTCCCATTTCTTCTTTTTCTCAGGTTTGTCAAAGATCAGATGGTGGTAGATGTGTGGTATTATTTCTGAGGGCTCTGTTCTGTTCCATTGGTCTATATCTCTGTTTTGGTACCAGTACCATGCTGTTTTGGTTACTGTAGCCTTGTAGTATAGTTTGAAGTCAGGTAGCGTGATGCCTCCAATTTTTTTCTTTTTTACTTAGGACTGTCTTGGCAATGTGGGCTCTTTTTTGGTTCCATATGAACTTTAAAGTATTTTTTTTTCCAATTCTGTGAATAAAGACATTGGTAGCGTATACTCCATGGAATACTATGCAGCCATAAGAAAGGACAAGTTCATGTCCTTTGTCGGGACATGGATGCAGCTGGAAACCATCATTCTCAGCAAACTATTGCAAGAACAGAAACCAGACACTCACTCATAGGTGGGAATTGAACAATGAGATCACTTGGACACAGGAAGGGGAACCTCACACACTGGGGCCTGTTGTGGGGTGGGGGAGGGGGGAGGGATAGCATTAGGAGATATGCCTAATGTATATGACAAGTTAATGGGTGCAGCACACCAACATGGCACATGTATACATATGTAACAAACCTGCATGTTGTGCACATGTACCCTAGAACTTAAAGTATAATAATAAAAAAAAGAAATTCATCATGGCACATGGCAAAATAGAGAACAGATTCACAGATCACCGTATGTTGAAACTATTATATAGGGAATGTAAATAGATTAAAATATTGAAGGCTCCATTTTAAAATATGGAAAATATGTACAAAAAGGGGAGGGATATCAGTAGAGAGATGGAAACTAAGAAATGTTCCAATGAGGAAACTATTTTCAACAATCTAAATGAAATGAACAAATTCTTTGAAAGACACAAAATCTCACAGGAAAAGAAGTAGAACCTGGATAGTCCTATATCTTTTAATGAAACTGAATTCCTTGTAAAAACCCTCTGACATATTCAGGTCCAGATGGCTTCATTGACAAATTCTACCAAATATATAAATAAGAATTAATCCCAATTCTATACAAACTCCAAGTACATAGGAGGAAGGAATGTTACAATGTTACATTCCTTTCTAACTCACTTTACAATGTTAAAGAGAGTGGTTTCATTTTAGACAAATATTCATGAGCCTTAATTTGAGGAATTAAAAATGTCTTCAACATAGCAAAACAAGCCGGAAAAAAAAAATAGTCCTTTTGACAGGTATTATCACGGACATATTGTTATAAATTTCAGGGGCTGGTTTTATCAAACTCTATACAGTCAGTCAACGTCACGTGCTAAGAGTAAGGTGAACATAGTGGTTCGAAAGAATACGGTCTTTTTAACCCAGTGGAGACAACGAGTTCCATAAACATGCCAGGATTCGTGGATAATGTTGAAGTGAAATTGGGAGGCTGGAAACCAATAATGCCGCTTCTCCTTTGCATTTTCACTGGTTCTCAGGTATTTTGTTTCTCTACTTAACCCCACATGCTTGTGGGCCAATTTGGACACAAATCTCCAGAGCAAGCCCAGGCACTCTCTCATTAACGACTTTAATCCGAACCCCAAAATGTTTCATCAAAGAAAGAACATGAACTTACGGGGTTAGCTTTTTAGCAGCTGTTGAACCCTGGACAACATTCTTTCCTTCTTGAACTTCCATTTCCTCATCCCTAACATGGGAACAGTTTCTTCGTAAATGTTATGAGAAGGCCAGGGCACAGTGGATCACGCCTGTAATCTCAGCACTTTGGGAGGCCGAGGTAGGGAGATTTCCAGACCATCCTGAGCAATCTGGAGAACCCTTGTCTCGAGAAAAAATACAAAAATTAGCCAGGCAGGGTGGCGTGCACTTATTATAGTCCCAGCTATTTGGGAGACTGAGGTTGAAGGATCGCTTGAGCCTGGGAGGGCTAAGCTGCAGTGAGCTGTGATCATACCACTGCACCCAGCCTGGGTAACAGAGCGAGACTCTATCTCAAAAAAAAAAAAAAATTTTGCCCGGTGCAGTGGCTCACACCTGTAATCTTAGCACTTTGAGAGGCCAAGTTGGGTGGATCACCTCAGGTCTAGAGTTCAAGATCAGACTGATCAACATGGAGAAACTCCGTCTCTATTAAAAATACAAAATTAGCCGGTCATGGTGGCGCATGCCTGTAATCCCAGCTACTTGGGAAGCTGAGGCAGGAGAATCAATTGAACCGGGAGGCAGAGGTTACCGGGAGGCAGAGGTTGCAGTGAGCCGAGATCGCGCCATTGCACTCCAGCTTGGGCAACAAGAGCGAAATTCCGTCTCAAAAAATAAAATAAAATAAAATAAAATAAAATAAAATAAAATAATTATGAGATCTCTCTCTCTCTCTCTCACACACACACACACATTTAGTCATGTGTCATTTAATGATGAGGTTTTGTTCTGAGAAATGCCTTGTGAGACAATTTTGTCATTGGGCAAACATCATAGAGTGTACTCACACGAACATAGATGGTACAACCTAATACATTCCTAGATTATATGGTAGAGCCTCGTGTATCTAGACTAGAAATGTGTACAGCATGTGACTGCTGAATGCTGTAGGCAACTGTAACACAATGATATTTTGTATCTAAACATAAAAAGGAAGAGTAAAAATATGATATAAAAGATAACAATTTTATACCTGTATAGGGCACTTACCATGAATGGGTGTGTCAGACTAGAAGTGGCCCTGGAAGACTCATGTATGTGGTTCATTGTTGACCAGCGTGTCATTATGCCATGCATAACTACATATATACATTAATATACATATACACATATACACATACATATATACACAGGTGTGTGTGTGTGTGTGTGTGTGTGTGTGTGTAATCTCCCCGTAAACACTTCATTTAGCTCCATGCCTCTGTACAACCTGGTCTACGCACTATGCAGAGACAAATGAGGCTTTGACAATCATGCATTTACAGAATCAAATTTATCTTGTTTAAACATATGAACAGACCTTATTTTTAAGAGAAGTTTTAGATTACCGGAAAACTGAACAGAAAGTAGAGTTTCCCATATACACTCTCATCCTGTTCCTACACACCTAGTATCTCCTCTTTATTAATATCTTGCATTGGTGTAGTACATTTGTTACAACTGACAAGCCAATACTGATATATTCTTATTAACTGAAGTTCATAGCTCTAATTAGCATTACCTCTTCATGTTGTAGCCTTCTACGGGCTTTGGCAAGTGCCCAGTGTCATGTATTCACCATTACAGTACCATACAGAACACTTTCTAACCTTAAAAATCTCCCGGGTTCCACTTATTCATCCTCCCTGCCCTCGCCGGAAGCCCTGACAGCCTCTAATCTTTTTACTGTCTAATCGAGTAGAATTTTGCCTTTTCTGGAATGTCTTATGGTTGGAATCATATATAGTCTTTTCAGATTGGCTTCTTTCATTTAGTGATAAGCATTGGAGTTTCATTTATGTCTTTCGTTGTGACTTGGTAGTTCATTTCCTTTTATCACTGAAAAATATTTCATTCTATGTATGCACTACAATTGATTTATTCATTCACCTATTGAAAAACATCTTGGTTGCTTCCAAATTTGTAATAATGAAGAAACTCATAAGGTGGTTTTTTTTTTTTTTTTTTTGGATATAAGTTTTTAATTCTTTTGGGTAAATACAAGGGAGTATGACTACAGCCCTGTATGGTCACATGATACTGAGCTTTGTATGAAGCTGCCCTACTGGCTTCCAAAGTGACTGTTCCGTTTGGCATTCCTACCAGCAATGAATGACAGTTCCTGTTGCTTCATGTGGGGGCCAGCATTTTGTGTTGTAAGTATATCAGATTTTAGCCTTTCCTGTGGGTCTGTAGTGGTATCTCATTGTTTTAATGTGCAATTCCATAAGTACATATGATCTTGAACATCTTTTCATAGCATATTTGCTATCTGTGTATCTTTAAAAATTTCTTTTATCAGAATTTTATAGTTTTTTTCACATCAACTAGTATGCATTTTGTTATATATACATACCTATTTTGATATTTTTCCAGAGATAATGTAAGTGGATTATATTTTAATTTAAAATTCAAACTATTCATCTCTAGTACATAGAAAATAATTGACTTTTGTGTGTTAACCTTGTATCCTGCAACCTCACTATAATTACTTATTAGTTATAGGAGTTTTATTTGTTGAGTCTTTGAGACATTCTACATAGAAAATCATGGCATGCCACTGGAGAATAAAGTTTTATTCTTTCTTCCCCAATCTGCATACATTTTATTTCTCTTTCTTGTCTTATTGCATTAGCTAGGACTCCTAGTAAGAAGTTACATTACCGTGGTGACAGGAGACATCCTTTCCTTGCTCCTGATCTTAAGGGGAAATCTACTTTCTCACGATTCAGTATGCTGATTGCTGTAGGTTTATGTAGATGTTCTTTATCAGGTTGAGCAAGTTCCTCTGTATTCCAAGTTTGCTGAAAGGTTTTATTATAAATCGGCATAGCATTTTGTCATTTTTTTTTGTATCTATCAATATGATCACTTCATTTTTCTTCTTCTTCTTCTATTTTTTTTTTTTTTAGCCTGTTGATGTGATGGATTACTTAACTGTATTTTGAATGTTGAACCAGCCTTGCATAGCTTGGATAAATCACACTTTGTTGTGGTAATTCATTTTATAAACTGTTACATAAAATCACTATATTTTGTTGAAGATTTTTGCATGTATATCTGTGAGAGATACTGGTCTTTTACTTCTTTTCCTTGTAATTATTTTTTCTGATTTTGCTATTAAGGTAATGCTATCATGATCAAATGAGTTAGAAAGTTTTCTTCAGCTTCTCTTTTTTGGAAGAGATTATTCAGCATTGGTATTCTTTCTTTCTTACATATTTGGGAGAATTCAGGAGGGAAGCCACGTGGCCCTGGTGTTTTCTTTTTTGGAAGACTATTAATTATTCATCATTTTCCTCAATAGATAGAGGCCGATTCAAATTATCTATTTCTACTTGTGAGAGTTTTAGTAGGTATTTCCTTTCAGGAAATTAGTCAATTTATTCTAAGGTATCAAATTTATGAGTACAGAGTTATTCATAATATTCCCTTACTATCCTTTTAATATCTATGGAGTCAATATTTACCATCTCTTTTTGTTTGTGACATTAGCAAGTTGTATTTTCTCCTATGTACTTGTTAGGTTGACTAGAAGTTTATTAATTTTTTGGTCTTTTCAAATAATTAGCTTTTGGCTTTGTCGATTTCTCTATTAATCTTCTGTTTTCACTGCTATTGATTTCTACTCTAATTTTTATTCATTTTGTTCTGCTTACTTTGGATTAAATTTGTTGTTCTTCTTCTTCTAGTTTCCTAAATTAGAAGCTTCTTTTATTGATTTTAGGTCTTTTTTATTTTCTAAAATATTCATTCAATACTACAAATTTCCCTCTAATCTCTGTTTTTGCTGCATCATACAGATTTTAACAACTTGCATTTTTGTATTTATTTCATCAAAATAAGTTTAATTTTGATTGAATTTTTTTGATTAATGTCTTATTAGAAGTATGTTGTTTAATATCCATATATTTTAAAATTTACCAGCTATCTCTCTGTTATTGGTTAATACTTTAATACAATGTGGTCTCTGAGCATAGTTGGTTATGATTTCAATTCTTTTGAAATTTGTTAAGAAATGCTTTATGGTTCAGAATGTGGACTAACTTGGTGAATAATCCATGTGATATTGGGAAGAAAATGGTTTCTGTTGTTGTTGGAAGAATTGTTCTATAAATGTCAATTAGATACAAATGATTGATGGTACTGTTCAGTTCAACCATGTCCTTATTGGTTTTCTGCCTGCTGGGTATTTTATTAATTAATAGAGAGGTATTGAGCTTTCCAACTGTAACTGTGGAATTGTTGACTTCATCTTGTAATTGCATCAGTTTTTGCCTTACATCTTCTGGCATTCTGTTGTTAGGCATACACAAGTTAATGCTTGCTATTTATTCTTGGGGAACGGACCTTTATCATTATGTAATGCACCTGTTTGTTCCTGATAATTTTTCTGACTCTGAATTTGTTTAGTTTAAAATTAATACAGCTACTTTAGCTTTGTTTGGAGAAGTGTCAGCCTGGTATATCTTTCTATATTTTAATCTAACTGTATCTTCATATTTGAAGTAGGTTTTTTGTAGACAACATAGAATTGAATCTTTTTCTTCTTTGTTAATCCACTCAGCCTTTGTCTTTTAATTTGATGCATCTAATCCACTTTCACTTAAAGTTATTATTGATATAGTTAGACTAATATTTACCATATATGTTACCGTTTTCTACTCACTGCTCTTGTTCTGGGTTCCCTTTTTTGTCTTCCAGTCTTTTTTTGCCTTCTCTGGCTATAAATTAGAATTTCACATTATTCAATTTTTTCTCTTCTTTTAGCATATCCGTTATATTTCTTTAAAAAAAAGCTGTTTAGAGGTTGGCCTAAAGTTTTCAATGTACATTTACAACTACTCTAAATCCACTTTCAAATAGCACTATACTGTTTCATGAGTAGTGCAAGTGCATCCCAACAGAATATTCCCAATTCTTCTCTCCTGCACCTCACTGTATTATGGTCATTCATTTCACTGATCCACAAACTATAATGACCCAATACATTGTTATTATTTTGAAAAAAAGTGTATCTGTTAGATCAATTAAGAATAGAAAAGTAGATATTTTATTTTACCTTTATTCCTTCTCTAATGCTCTTTCTTTATATAGATCCAAATTTTTTACCTATATAATTT